TCGCAGATCGAGTCTCCTTCTTGGTAGGGTAGAATTGTCGTTGTCATCGTGTCGATCAGTCGGGTACTGCTATCCTCAGGAACAGAGCCTGGCAAGTGGACGATGCAGTCTTGAGATGTTATAGTTAGTATGAGACCTTCCTGAGCTCCCTTCAGTGGCATTCTAAGCACCGGATCAAGGAATCCTTCAGGCCGTGTCTGATAAGATGTTGCCATGTTGTGGAGTCCGAACGAAAAAGGATTTGGCTTCTTGAAAAGATTCTGCGTGTACTTCGATTTGTATTCTTGATAGGTTAGGACCGCATTCTTAAGCCCCATCGGAAAAGAACTCGGTTTCCCGAAAGAACTCGGATAGGACTCTATCTCGGATGTGGAGCCTGAGTTCGAGTCGGATACGCAAAGCCGCGAAACCTGAGTGGAATCGGACATCATGAGCTGCGCGAATCTTCCAGTGATTTGATCTGTCATAGTCGTCGAAATAGAATAGTCTTCATGGTGACTCGAATCTTCGAGAAAATGGCTTTGGAGCTTGCCATTGTCGTCCGCCTCGCAGATCCATGAGCCAAAGATGAAAGTTGATCCCGTCGAAAAGATCATGCTGTCGAGGTCCATCGAGCTCTCGGATGCAAATTCGCCGAAAGCCCCTACCTGGCGCGCCAGCTGTCGATGTTTTACCACCGATAGCCTGCCACGGGGTTACCCGGGACAGTATGTTCGGGCTTCAGCGTATGCGAAACTCGATGGTGAACGTAAGAGACAGTCAATTTATCCTGGTTCGGGCCCTCGATCGTGGTCGGGTAATAGCCCTACGTCCAGTCGGCATTAGCCTTTGCGTTGGATTAATTGTGTGTTGTTGTGTTGTATCATCTAGTCCTCTCGTCTCTAGGAACCCTGCCCTCCCTTATATAGTTAGGAGGTCAGAATCCTAGTCGGTTTACAATGAGAGTTTTTAGTAGAATTACAGAATAATACTACTACTAAGATTACATGGGGAGAATCCTAGTTAGACTAGATCTTCTCTCTTCCTTACGGGGTATCCTGTGGGTCCCGCACCGACAGCCACGCTGCGTGGCCTTCTTTTGGTGCAGGATTCGTAGTAAAGAGATTATATGAAATAAAATTTCACAATATAATCATTGATGTTTACTATTTTTGTAAACTTGATAAAATTAAAATAATTTGACTTATGATAAATTCTCAAGTAAAATATTTTGGAACCGAGGTAGCATAACCAATAGTCAACGTTAAACATGGTTATGGAAAACTTGCCATGTATCAATTTGTACGCCTCATTTCATTTAACCTTTAATTCGCGCGCCTTTTGATATTTAGCCATGTACTAGCTGGAAATTCTTTTGATCCAAGGGTTTTCTCTACTTAATATGGCCGATGACTCCCACTTTCCAAAAGGAATGGAATTCTAGCTTTTGGGTGAGTCAATCATACATAAAAATATTAATATTTAAAATACATGATAAGTATCATTAGACTAATATTTTTAAAATAAACATGTTTTGAGATATGGATATTGATGCTCTTTTCTTTGAACCTAGTCAAACTTTAGAAAGTTCAAACCAAAGATTACATCCTTTTAGTTGTCATTCAACTTGTAAAGTTCTGTCTCATTAACTCATATTCATTCATAAAGTCTGTAATTATCATCTTATAAAAGTATTTAAAAGCTTATCTCTATGACTATTATAAATTATTGTCGTAGTGCAAATTCTAATATGACATATTTGGTTTGTATTAGTTTTCAGACAATATTACAAATTTGTATTTCTGTTTGATAAAAAAATAAAAAAAGTAATATCTATGACTTCCATTCCAAATTTCAAGTCGTTTTGAGTTTTCTAAATATATACTGTAAATTTTTATTATGTATCTAGACATAATGTATATATATATATGGGTGCTTAATAAAAGCTATTTTAAAAAGACAGAATGACTTGTAATCTTTAAATGGAAGCAGTATATTTGATTCCATATAAGCCCTGCTGGGCTATAAGCGAATATGCGAATATGCGATGCACCTGCTGGGCTATAAGCCTATACGCAGCCCACATCGTCTACCTCGTCATGTCCGTGCGTGCGTGAGCCACGCCCACATGCTGACGTACACGGACACCATCCAGTTCCAGGAACCATCCACTTCTATAGCTTTTCATTTTTGGAGAAGGCATGGCCGTGTTTCAACTTTCAAGCTTGGATCTAACGAAAATCATGGGACGATAGATATGACAAATACGTGTGTAGGTAATCTTTTTCTGATAAATGAGCATTTGCGAATTGGTACCTCATCATGGGCTCATGGCTATGGTAAACTGCATTATAATATTATTTGTGTATCCACTTAACAAAGAGCTTTGTAGCATTGTTGAGAGTTGAGTAGTTGACCACACCACAAAATGCATAATGTGTCAAACATTGGTATTCCCTCCATCCTAAAAAGACTATAATTTAAGGTTCAAATTTTGTCAAAGAACTACAATAGTAGGTATATATAGCTAAGCTTTGTGTGATCCAATGCACAAGATTGTGGGCCATCATGTGTGGGTCCAATTATTAAAAAAAAACATAAATAAAAGGCCGCACCCTACCTCCTCACTCATGGACGTGGAGAGGCTCTCTTGTGTTCCCTAACAATCCATGGCTCTTCCTCCCTACCCCTGTTCCCGATCTAGATTGAGCTCCATCACTGCCTAGATCCACTTCGCCTATTCTTCCTCCCCTTCTAGTGTAGCCTAGCACCGCCTGTTCGCCCACCCTTTCTGTCAGGCCTCTTGGCATCTTTGACCTGGCCGCTCTCCAATCCAAAGGCCGCCCCTATTTCACTTCTCCATCTAGCACTCCTCTCCCGTGTGGGCATCCTCGGTAGTTGGGCTCTTTCCCCTCTTTTGGTCATGGTCAGCTGCAGCATTCATTCCCCGCGCCTAAGCTTGGTCAGTGGCGATGCAGTGGTGACTAAGCCACCAGGAACGGCCGAAGGAGGGCGGAAGGCTAGGAAGCGAGTACTAGAATGATGAACCCACACAGAGAGATTGAGGGCGAGAGGGAGGAGAACACATCTAGACAGTTGGATTAGGATCCCATGGTTACTGTTCACCATCTGAAAAAAATAAACAATGGTCATCTCAGAAATAGCATTTTGCCGTTTTATAGTGGTATTTTTGTCATTTCAGCTATGTTGGTTTCTCCTCGGAAACCTAGGATTGTAGCCTATTTTGACTAAGAGATATACTCTTTTCGTTCCAAATTGTAAATCAAAGGCTTTTCCAGATACATTGTTTTAATATGTATCTACACATAATATATGTTCTCTTCATTCTAAATTATAAGATGTTTCGGGTTTTTTAGATATGTTGCTTTTGCTATGCACTTAGATATACTCTACACTATATACATAGCAAAAGAAATTTTATCTAAAAGGCCAAAACGTCTTACAATTTGGAACAGAGCGAGTATCTAGATGCGTAGCAAAAGTTATGTATCTAAAAATGTTAAAACGACTTATAATTTAGAATAGAAGGAGTAACGTATTATTTAATTAGCACGTAACATAGAAATACATTTTAACACCCGTAAACCATAGAAATATCTAGATCCTCTTACATAAAAAGTAAACTACATTAGAATAACCGTTTTCGTACATTTTCCTCCACGAAATATATATATAGCACAAGGAATATTCCAAAGACCAAATTTGATACACAAAATACTAATATGTTATATGGAACCCGCCAAATGGAGCACAATATCACTCTTGCACTATCCTAAAATAGTACTCAAAAGACGAAGAACTTTTTGTTCAGGTGGTCGCATGCGCGTTTGTCCATATATGGAGCTGACCCCACCATTTGGTATTCATTTATGGTACCCATTTATAGAAAATTAAAAAGCTTATCCCACAATATTCTGCTGAAAATATGTCCAACAAAATTTGCCAGAATATGTAGTAATATCAACGATAAAGCTGGTCATTGTCCAGCAAAATTATAGTTTGTACACTGGATTAATTGATATTGTCTCCCCTAAAAAATAATGCAGGATCTAATGAATTAGTATCATAGGACTTGGATTAGTGCTAGTGTCTGTAGAGTATGCAAACAGGGACAAATAATACATCATCCGTTGATTCCCTGAAGCTGCACAGCACAAATACGAGACATCTTTTTCATTTTTCATCTATTCTTTTTTTAGTGTATTTTTATCATACATTTTTTTTATACCTAACTCACTAATGGGAGTGGTTAAAACAATGTTCAACCTGAATTTTAATTTTTTGCCTATTTGTTTTTAGTAAAATGACATCTATTTTCTCCTAGATTATGTCGAACCTATGAATTTATTTGTTTCATCTCCCTTGTATCTTACTGTATATATAAATGTCCATTTTTCATTTGCAAAACTAACGTAGGATGTTTGAATGGTAACAAGCAAGATTCTTTTGGAATCAGTCCATAATTATTGTGAAAGTCTAATCAATTTTATTTCAAGCTTGAATTTGTTAGCCAGAAACGAAACAATGATGAGTTTCTAAGATCAGGCACTGGTGGAAACTAGGTTCTTGATTTTCTTACCATGTGGTTCAAGAGAAAGATGAAGATAATAAGGCTCCTGAATTTTATGTGAGGAGAGTGGAATGAGGCTGGTTATAGGATTTGATGAAAATCCGCTGGTCGCTACTGGGAGCGACGACGAATCGACGGAAGAAGCAAGGAAGCTGCTATGGCTGCTACTCTAATCATTATCAGGCCGCGCGCCCGACGACGTCACGTGTGACCGCCACAATTCTGCTAGCTGACCAGTGAAATCAAGGAATGGCGGCTTCGACGTAGGTCATACACGTAACTGCCTCCGATCCACATCCACACAACAGGTCCAGGACACCAGGAGGACCTCATCGGGGACCAGGGACAGGGATGCTATAAATCCCCCGTGCCTTGTATCTCTCAGCGCCGGCTAGGCTACTACCTCGTCGAAAACATCAGCTACCTCGATATGGAACAGCAGCATTACCCCTCCTACTGTTACCCTGCCACTGCCAATGTGTCCTCCGCGCCGCCCGCCATCGACGCGACAGACGACAGCGACATGCTACTGCAGCTTGAAGCCTTCCTCCTCGGCACCGACGACGCTGAGCCCGCCGCCGAGGCGGTGTCCTCCGACTGGTCGTCTTCCTCGTCGTCATCCTCCGCCCCAACTTCCTTAGATGTGGGAGCGGTAACGAAAACCACCGTGAACACTGGCGACAATCAGCATCGGATCCCGGGTACGGATGCCTCCAGCTGCAGGGAGCGGCAGGCCTTGATAGGGGTACGCAAGCGGCCGTGGGGCAAGTTCGCGGCCGAGATCCGCGACTCCACGCGCAAGGGTGCCCGCGTGTGGCTCGGCACCTTCGACACCCCCGAGGCCGCCGCGCTGGCCTACGACCAGGCCGCCTTCTCCGCGCGCGGCGCCGCCGCCGTCCTCAACTTCCCCGTGGAGCGCGTGATGGAGTCGCTGGGGGCGCTCCAGCTCCAGCTCCCCGGCACAGGAGGTGGTTCCCCTGTCCTCGCGCTCAAGCGGCGCCACTCCAAGCGGACGCGAAGGCGCAAGGTCGTCGTCTCACCTGTCATCGACGACGTCAGCAATAATACTTCCACGGCACGGTTGCAGCAGCAGCCGGTGCAGCAATGCTCCGACGCGTCGAGCTCCAGTATGGCTGTGGCTAGTGTGCCGGAGCAGCAGACGACGGTGCCCGGCCAGTGCCACTGCGGCGTTGTCGAGCTAGAGTACCTTGGCGACGATTACATGCAGGACCTCCTCCGGATATCCGAGTTGGATTATTATTAGTTGCCACTTGGCAGGTTAGGAAAAAAAAAGAGCAGCATGGCCGTCATCGCCATCATCGTCACAACACCAGCAGTGTCAACTGCCAATCCGCAAACTTATTGAATGTCATCCACTCCATTCTCCTGCAAAGAATTTTTTTTTTCTCACAGTGGCCAAACAAATTTTGGTATTATTAACAAATATGTTCTAATAACTTAGCCTAGTCAATATAAAATCTTGCTATTCCCTTCTAGTTGGAAAATATGTGTTTTCCTATGCTTACCACAAACCACAGCCAATAAGTTGGAATAGACATAAACTTTCGTGTTAACACCAATAGAATCTTAGGTGCTGGCATGGGTGGTCGCCTGCCGGCTTCTAAGCTATCGAGCAAATGGTTAGCTTTGTTCACCGTTGTATTGAACCTCATGGTCGCTACTACAAAAATCATGTTCACACTTTTGTTTGTTCAGTGGGCAATTGATCTTGACCGTAGTATAAGCCAATGGACCCAGGGCTAAAGCCACCGTACCTTTATTTAGCCTGTTCGTTGTTGGTTTCTGGAATGATAAGCTCGGCTAGTGCAGGTTTGTTGTGAGAGAAAAATACTGTACCATGGCTAATAAGCTCTGGCTGAAACCAACAAGTGAACAGGCTGATTATTTGCTTTTGCTTCTATATTTAAAAAAAAATTTGCACAAACATTATTCAATTTGAATATTTTCACATAGTTGATTGAAAATTTACATAATTCTAATTAGCAAATCTCTGATTCACTAGCTTGCATAATGCAGAATTAGTGATGAGTCATTTGTGCCTAGTCACTAGCTAGAGAATGCATAAATGGGGTTCTTTTTCCCCTATATTTTGGAAATTGCAAACTAACGTAAACTAATAATATGTATCATACAACTTTGTTTCTTCGGTCACAAACACTACAATTTTTTTTTCGATTATAGACACTCTACAATTAGTAGAGTACATGATGGTTTCAGTTCAATTGCTGTTCAAGGGTTGATGAGGACATCAACACCAACGGTACATCCACGCCGACACAAGTACCAGTTTCTGGTCCTATTACTCGCGCCCGTGCTCGTCAACTTAATCATCAAGTAAGTTCACTCTTGAGTTCATGTCTATCATATTTAGACCATGGAGATACGTGCACTCTTGTTTTGGTTAGGAACCAGAGAGAGGACCGAGAGGGAAAAGGATTCGCGCAGGTTGGATTCGGACTCTAAAACAGCTCCAACTTGTGATGGTCACCACGGTCGCATACGGACTCGGATTGGGGCGTTCAAGTACTTCATGAAATTCTTATGAAGTCTATTTTCACATGGATCTAGAATCAAGTCTATATTTGTTCTGAGGCGGCCGCAATGACCGAATTACTATGGAGATTTTTTGTCCAAAGGTGCTATGTCGCCTTAGTTTGGCTCAATGGGCCGTGTATCAAGTCGGGTCCATTAGGGACGCGTCCTAGGGTTGGAGCATGACCCCAACACCTTGGTGGTCATCCCTCCACCTTCATATACCCCTTAGCCACCACCAAGAACAGTCGGGTTTTGTTTAGATCAAGTTTAGCTCTCGCTACTTGCTTGTAAGCGCGCGTTTTTAATTTTTCCTATAGTCCAAAAAAGCCAAAAAACATAGTAAGTTAGTTTACCCGCAATCCTATAAACCCTTTGAGCCTTTGCTTGCACTGTTTAGTTAGGGCTTGTTGAGTTTTCGGTTTGCATCGGTTGTGTCGAGTTGTTGGTCTTAGTTTTAGTCCTTTAGAGTTTCAAGTTCTTGTCATGTTCTAGTCACAGCCGTGTGCTACCGTATAAACCTTCTATTGGCTGAATCCGAATACATCCTTGTGTTCAAGTCTGAGTAGGAATCTGAGTTTATTTTGAGACCGAATCCCACGTGGTGTTGAAGTTCGAGTTGGAATCGATTTTGAGTCCGAATTGATAGCTGCCTTGTTGCTATTTTGAGTCCGAATCTATGTACATCTTTGTGTAGCAGTAGTTCATATCTATACTCAACTTCTCAACATCCAATATATCCATATTAGCTCAGTTTACTCTAGAGTCCTAATTTTGTCAAAGATCGAGTTGGAATCGGTGTGGAGTCCGAATTGGTTGCCGCGCCGTGTTACCAAATTTTGTTGCTGTTTGCACTTGTGCTACATATATTGAAGTGTTCTAGAAAGGCAACAGAAGTCCATACCTGTACTTGACTCCTCCACATTGTGCATACATATTGGAGAAAAAAAAGAAAAGAAAAAAAAAGAAAAGAAAGAAAAAAAACAGAAAGAAAAGGAGCTATTCGTTGTGCTCCTCCATTGTTTCCAGTGGTGTATTGTGACTTCCTTTGTGTCCAAGCTAGCGCCTCTAGCACGGTCTAGGCTAGGACCAGCACAGTACCACCGTTGAATGATTATTCAGCATGCTTTTATGACTAACGTAGTGCTAGTACTTCCTTGCTTCAGCCTACCTACAGCTCCACATATTTTGACTACAGCTTAACAGGTGTTGTTGTTGCGGCACTGATACACTTCATTACATGGTTGCAGACTTGTTGGTTGTCGTCCCCTCCTGTTGAGCAAGGTAAGAATTGGTAAGAGCTTGTGTAACGGGTTGAGAGTGAGCATCTTGCTGTAGCTACATCCTAATAGTTGTAGGGCTTTTATTTCTTCACCTATTTTCTTGTTGTCCTTGTCTTTTAAACCATGTTAGGGTCAGAGGATGTTAACAAGATGCCACAATGTCCTCGCACCAAGGGCATCATTCAATATTTTACAAGGCAAGTGCAGTTGCATATAGAAGGACTTGATCAAGATTTACAGGTGACCAATGACAAGATTAGGCAATTGGAGGACACCTAACTTGCACAAACACCAAGCTTACACGATTGGAGGCATTTGTTGCCCGTATGGACAGAAGCCTTGCTGCTCTTCTGAAGTGCTTTGATGACTTTCACATGAAAGACAAAGAGCAGCATAATGAAGACAACAAGGACGAAGAGCGACTCGAAGATAATTATGATGATGATTATACTGCTGATACTGAACATGATGCTCACTGCTGATACTGAACATGATGCTCATGACACTCGTGACCGGCGTCGCCTACGCCATAATCGTAGAGGTATGGGTGGTCACCGCCGACGCGAGGTACCCAATAATAATGATGCTTTCAGTAAAATTAAATTTAAAATGCCTCCTTTTGATGGTAAGTATGATCCTGATGCATACATTTCTTGGGAAATTGTTGTTGACCAAAAGTTTGCATGTCATGAATTTCCTGATAATACACGTGTTAGAGCTGCTACTAGTGAGTTTACTGACTTTGCTACTGTTTGGTGGATAGAACATGGCAAGAAAAATCCTAATAACATACCACGAACTTGGAATGCTTTGAAACGAATCATGAGGGCCAGATTTGTTCATTCTTACTATGCACGTGATTTGTTAAATAAATTGCAACAACTGAGACAGGGTGCTAAAAGTGTAGAAGAATATTATCAAGAATTACAAATGGGTATGTTGCGTTGTAATTTAGATGAGGATGAGGAACCTGCTATGGCAAGATTTTTGGGTGGGTTAAATCATGAAATTTAGGACATCCTTACGTATAAAAAATACACTAACGTAACCCGTTTGTTTCATCTTACTTGTAAAACTGAAAGGGAAGTGCATGGGCGACGTGCCAGTGCCAAAAATAATATTTCTGTAGGGAAGACTAATTCATGGCAGCCCCGCACGACCACTACTCCGACTACACGTACTCCTATGCTATCATCCAGTGACAAGCCTCGTGCTACTCCTGCAAATTCAGTGGCAAAGATGATCCAGAAGCCTACTGCGAGTGCTTCATCTGTGGCATCTATAGGTACAACAAGAGACGTTCAGTGTCACTGGTGCAAGAGATATGGACATGTGATGCGTGACTGTCCAAGCAAGTGTGTTATGGTCATCAAAGATGATGGTGAGTATTCCTCTGCTAGTGATTTTGATGAAGATACACTTGCTTTGCTTGCTGCTGACCATATAGGTAGTGAGGAACAACCAGAAGAGCAGATTGGTGTAGTGGATGTAGATCATTATGAGAGCCTCATTATGCAGCGTGTGCTTAGTGCACAAATGGAGAAGGTGAAGCAAAATCAGTGGCATACACTGTTCTAAATAAAGTGTGTTATTAAAGAGCGTTCGTGCCGTTTGATAATTGATGGAGGTAGCTGCAACAACTTGGCTAGCAGTGATATGGTAGAGAAGCTTGCACTTACAACCAAACCGCACCCACATCCATATCACATTCGATGGCTCAACAATAGTGGTAAGGTTAAGGTGACGAGACTGATACGAATTAATTTTGCTATTGGATTATATCATGATGTTGTTGAGTGTGATGTTGTGCCTATGGAAGCTTGTCATATTCTGCTAGGTAGACCATGGCAATTTGATACAGATTATATGCATCATGGTAGATCAAATATGTATTCTCTCATACACCATGCTAAGAAAATTGTTTTGCTTCCTATGTCTCCTGAAGCTATTGTGCGTGATGATGTTGCTAAAGCTAAGAAAACTAAAACTGAGATCGATAAAAATGTCAAATCTGTTAGTAGTAAGAAAGATGAGATAAGATTAAAAGGACATTGCTTGCTTGCTACTAAATCTGATATTAATGAATTGGTTGCTTCCACTTCTGTTGCCTATGCTTTGGTATGCAAGGATGCTTTGATTTCAGTTCACGATATGCAACATTCATTGCCCTCTGCTGTTGCTAACATTTTGCAGGAGTATTTGGATATTTTTCCAAGTGAGATACTAGCGGCGCTGCCACCAATACGAGGGATTGAGCACCAAATTGATCTTATTCCTAGTGCACCTTTGCCAAACCGTACGCCAAACAGGACAAATCCGGAAGAAACGAAGGAAATTCAGCGACAAGTACAAGAACTACTCGACAAAGGTTATGTGCGTGAGTCCCTTAGTCCTTGTGCTATTCATGTTATTTTAGTGCCTAAGAAAGATGGAACATGGCGTATGTGTGTTGATTGCAGAGCTATTAATAATATCACCATTTGATATCGACACTGGCGGCCTCGGCAGTGTCGACGGCATCGGTGGTGTCCCAGGCGTCGCCCCCACGCGCCTGACGAACATGGCTGGGCCAAGCGTCTGGCAGACGCCGGGGGCGAACTGCAGCAGGGATGACGGGCGCGGCGATGAACGGCAGCCACGGGTCCCTGCAGTGCGGACTCTGTGGGAGCGGCGAGGAGGGATGCGGTGGTCGGAGATGTCCCGGAGGGCACGACAGACGGCGCCCTACAGCATGAAGCGGCGAAGGCCTCCAGCGTGAATGAAAAACTGTGAATGAAAAGTGATGGATGTGTCTTTCCTGATAAACAGTGTTGTGTACATAAATACAAGCCCAATGGGTAGTTGTCTGTTGGTGAAAAGGTGCCCCTGTATGCCTCAAAGGTGTCTCTCTACGCCTATTCTGGAACTATCATTAGCAACTGCTAATAACATGATTAACAATAAATTGATCACTAAATAATAATCTTTAACAATATGAAGCCATCATGTTTTTTTACATAACCATCATGTTTTTAAGTATGTTGAAAAAACCAGAGAAAAAAAGTTGCCAAGCAAATTAGAAATCACCGTGTACGTAAGTATGTCTAGGAAAAAAACAGAAGAAAAAATCCTGTCATTCCAAAATTTATCTCATTACCTTCGGTTCACCTGTTTCATAGAAAAAACATTTAGAAAAAGTAAACAAAAACACTGATCTCCGTATGGTAAAATCACATCCCATATAGAATTGGAAACCATCATGTACAGTGGAGAAAAAACAAAAAACCCATATCTCCTACAACTAAAAAGAACAAAGTGTGGACAGTTTTTAGTGCGACATTTGTTTTAGTTCGTCTGTCTGCCCACGCCTACGATCCCACGACATCTTAATTACTGATTGATCGTGCCATTCTCCTTGATTGAATATTGCCTGTCATGTGATAGAGGAATCACGGCAAAATAGGAAGTAGAAAATTATTGTGCTATCCATATACACATTGGATGTTTGCATGCACCAGCATACATGTCAACGAGCAAAATGAAAGAGAATTAAGACAAAAGGAACCTCTTTGCATTTCTAATAACCTTGCCAAATCTGCCTAAATTTAATTACTTCCCCTCTTTGCATTTGCAAAAGGGACAGCTTTGTTCTCCTTTCATTTGGTTTCACGCTCACGTGTTCCATCGCCCTCGCTCGCTGTTTCTTGCGTGAACTATAGTTGATGTCATCTGTCTTCCATGGCTCAGCCTTCCAATCCCAAGAGAAGGTCCCTACCTCTCCCTGACTAGAGATCCAGCCTGCCAGATGATCTCCTCGAGTCTATCGGGCAGCGTCTCGCGTCAGGCCACGATGCGACGTCCTTCCGATCCGCTTGCTCCCCATGGCGCGTCGCCGTCCCATTCGCGACCTTCGGACCACTCCTGCTGCTCCCGTTCGACCCCGACTCGGACCACGTCGGCTTCTACTGCATCCCGAAGAAGAAGGTCTTGTCCAAGACGCTGCCCGACGTGCGCGGCAAGGTGGCGTGTGGCTCCTCGTGTGGGTGGCTGGCGCTCATGGACGAGGCGACGTCCGTGACGCTGCTGAATCCATTCGCCGGTGCCCGTGCCCCCCGCGTTGAGCTCCCGCCAGCAGGCGAACACGTCGTGGCGGCGTCCTCATCGGAACGCGTGTCTAGGGTCCACGGGTGGTGGGTCCTCCATCCCACCAACGGCTACGGGGACGCGGATGCCGCAGGCAGAGCCATCAAGCTAGAAGACATAAAGGACGTGTTCTTCCGTGAGATCGTGCTCTCGGCGTCGCCTGATGCCGCCAGCCGTGAGTGCGTGGCCATGGCCATGCTTGGGTGCTCCACAAAGGTCACGTTCTGCCAGGTTGGAGTCGACAGCGCATGGACGCTGCTCGACACCAAACTGGTGTTCTCCGTGGGGTCCATCGTCCACTGCCAAGACAAGTTCTTGACGATCGACTGCACTGGACAAATCTCCGTCTGTAGCAGCAACGTCGCCGGCGCTACTCCAACCGTGACACTGCTACCATCGCTGTCGCCACCTACGGGGCTCTGCCACCGCAGCTACCTGGAATCAAACGGTGAGCTGCACATTATGGGTGCCATGGTGAGCACGTTCTACAAGACACAAAGCTTCACCTACAGCAGCGCGATCTACAAGTGCAACCTCCACGACCGTACGCCGGAGTGGTCCAGGGTGAGGGACATCGGTGATCAGACACTCTTCATGTCTAAATATTTCAATGAAAGCTTCAATGGAACAAGTGTATTCAAGTATAAGGAGAACAAAATCTACATGTCTGAGCCATTGTATGGGGATCCATACGACTTGGTCCATCGACCGGAGATCGTTGATATTGCTACCGGCGTATCTGAAGTGAAGCCCGTCCAATAAAAGATGCAGGGTTCCGAGGCTCTAGGTTGGATTCGACCCAATCTCTGGAAGCTCTAGAGTTTGTGAGCCTGCGACGCCGCGCACTCCGTGACTGTGTTAAATTCATAAACTTTGCTTTTTGATTAAATGTCACTTTAACGTTGGTATTTAATTTAACAGTATTGTTATCTTATCGTGTGATCCATGTGTTTTTAGTATAAATTGTTAGTTATCCCGTAGCAATACACGGGCACGCTACCTAGTCACGTATAAAAGATGGAAGAAAAAAGTACGCCGAAAAGAGGGGAAAATATTACGTAGAGAAAATAGACAAACATCACGTGAGGGAAAACAAATCCATCCAAAAAAGTGTGTGGAAAATAATGGAAAAGTAAATTAGGAGCGATATAGATATGAGACGATAGTTTTGTTGATTTAACCGTTGAAGTACATATGAGTGTTTGAAGACCGCGTATTAGAATAGGAAAGGAATTCTACAATCAGGAGCGTGAGGTAATTGTTGATTAATATTTTTTTCTACCTCTCCCTTCCGTATTCCTTTTCCACGTTCCTTCGGTATCCGTATTCATTTTCCAGTTCAGATTCTATCCGCCATATCTGTTTTCCTTCGCACAAATCCGTGTTCCCAAAGAGTAGTAGGATAGGATTAGGATTCTTACCCAGATTAATCAAGACCTAAAGGATATAGTTGGATTAGGATTTGGATTCGTACCTATTGAGGTTACCACAAGAAGAGATATATATATATATATATATATATATATATATATATATATATAACATACATAGATCTTCTTGTGAGTTGTAGAGAACAAATAGAAATACTTTTTATATTCATGGAGTTAGTCAGAGGAGGTCATACCAAAAAAATGGGTACCAACAAAATGAGCGAAAATTTTGCTCCTTTATTATTAGGTATAGATATAGATTAAACTTGCATCTAATATTGTAAATTCAGTATCCCCTGGAACGAAAGATGATGATAGATACTGCAAATAAAAGGATCAACCCGGAGCTAAGAGCATCTCAGAGAGTTTTTCTAAAATTAACTCTCTAAATCATCTTTGAAGAGATATTTGAGTAAAAAACCGTTTTCTATGCTAGAGAGTCATTCTCACTTTGAATTGTTGGCTAGCGAGAAATCTGAAATAGAGAATATCTATATTTAGAGATCCAATTAAAATGGTTGTTGAAGGATATTTTTCACCAAAATCTCTGTTCCTATAAATTAGAAATGATATAGACTTTTTCTTGAAGTTGCTCTAAAGCCTTCATCTAATAAAATTAAAAAAATAATAAGAAAACTAGGCGCTAAACACACACCATCGAAGGCGTACTACTTGCCCCAGAATAAACAACCATCAACCGTGAATGGGCCTATGGTCCAGTGGTAGGGTTATCCAATGGGGTGCTACCCACCTGGTGATCGCACCTTTTTCTGAAAATTTTGAAGAATTTTCAGGGTGACAACTGCACTTGCTTCGGAGACATGACCCTGTTGCAAAACCACTGCACGCTGTGCTTCGTGGGAGCCGAAGTCCTTTTTTTTCCTTTTATCACAGATGTCACATTTGTTGAAAAAATCATTGACCAATCAAATGTCATAAAGTTAATAGCATATTAACTGCCTGCAGGTTACTATAATTCAAGTAGTGTCGCCTAAAAGTCTTTTGGTGATGGTGACGACAAAGGGCTGAGTTGAGAGTCGACCAATCAGTCAGCTTAGTCACTAGAGGAAAGATGAAAGGGAGACTAAAATTTCATTAATGCAGAGGATTGTCTCCTTTCAGATATTTTATGGCCGGACAGTCCTATTGTAGAGGGAAGCAAAGCATTGGCGGCAGCGCAGGTGACGCTAGGCGGCTTGTCGTATCCAGCCGCCCTACGTCAGCCTTACTGACTTTTACCATCACGTGAGCGCTGCCGTTGTGCTGACCTGTGGTGAAAACAAAGATTGTGGCGGGTCCCACGCAGGAAATCCACTTACAGCCGACGACAAGTAAATCCGGACATCCATCATTTCCACTCCACAAGACTGCTGCAGCCTGGAGGCTATATAAATATAATCCTTCTTCTACCTCCGGCACTGCTCACAACTACAGTCTGCTGAAATGGAACAAGGCAATCCTACTCCCACATCCTCTGCCTCCAACTGCGACCCTGCCGCCGCAGCACCAGCCGCCGCGTGGCTCCACGACGACACGGCCCAAGGCGACGACATGCTACTACAGCAGCTCGACGCAATTCTCCTCGGTATGGCCATGGACGACGACGTTGCCACAGCCGCCGCCGACGACTGCTGCTCCGACTGGCTCTCTGCTTCCTCGCCCTCGTCCTCCTCCGAGGCGACGACGACAACGGCGTCGTCGTCGCCGACCACGCGGGAGCAGCACCGGCGGCAGCCCAACGACGCCGCCTGGGCAGGCGAGAACGAGAAGCGGGTGACGGCGTTCATCGGGGTGCGGAAGCGGCCGTGGGGCAAGTTCGCGGCCGAGATCCGCCACTCCACGCGCAGGGGCGCCCGCGTGTGGCTCGGCACCTTCGACACCCCCGAGGCCGCCGCGCTCGCCTACGACCAGGCCGCCTTCGCCGCACGCGGCGTCGCTGCCGTCCTCAACTTCCCCGTGGAGCGCGTGGTGGAGTCGCTGCGCGCGCTCGCGCTCGCCGGCACGGGCGGAGCCGGAGGCTCCCCTGTCCTCGCGCTGAAGCGCCGGCACTCCAAGCGCACGCGCAGGCGCAAGCCCTCCTCCGCCGCTGTGACCTGCGACGGCAAGGACATCATGAAGCCGCAACGACGACAGCCTGCTGCGGCGCGCCAATGCTCTGGGTTGTCCGGCGTGTCTTCGTCCTGCACGGCCATGGCAGCGGTGCCGCAGCAGCAGGTGACGTCGCGCGGCCAGAGCCAGTTGCGTTACGGCGTCGTGGAGCTGGAGGACCTCGGCACCGATTATTTGGACGAGCTCCTCCGGGTGTCGTCCGAGTTTAGTAATTAGTTGACTAGCCTTTCGCTGCTCGGTTTCTGGATTGATAATAAGTTCGGCTAGTGCTGATTTATTGTGAGAGAAAAATACTATGCCATGATTCATAAGTCCTGACTGAAATCAACAAATGAATAGGCTGGACATGGTAAGTCATCCAACGTCACCATATCGTCATCACGATCCACCGTGTATGAAGCCAATGCTATCGCACGGCGACCTTATAAATTGTAAATTGCTGATTATATATATATTTATTATATTCAAAAAAGAAGAGTACAAAAACCAATTATATATGATGAATGGCACTCATGCCTATCGTCCTATAGTTTGTAGCTTTGTACGTACCCCACTAGCCAAATATAAATTCTGATATATGGTGTCCCGCATGACACTTTTTAAGTTGAAGAAACGGAGAAGAGAGAAACAGATTCATCAAGAGAAATATCATCTTCTTTTGACAAGAAGAGGACCCAATTGAACCTGAATATTATGAAAGGATGTCCTCTTTTTTCCGGGGGTTCGTCTTTGAGAATTGAGAGTTGCACACATGCACTTGGGTTCTCTAACCTTTACAGGCTTTGAGCAGTATCACCATACTTCTGGGTGTGGTACTTGGGGACAACCGTACCCAGAGCATTGCATTGGTGACACTTTCAACCGCAACTAACAGCCTGTTCGGGAGGCCATATCGTATCGTGGATTATTTACTGCTGGCTGATTTGGTATGAGAGAAAAACACTGTTCCCGACTGAAAATTTACAATCGTTTACAAGGAAGCGAACAGGCTGAAACTTCGTATGCTCCGACTGCCAAGGGGTCGTCACCAGCAGACCATGTATTTGCCCATGAGCTATGCCACCTCACAAGGTAATTTTCTTTTGTCACCGTTATTTATAATCTCGTCATTCATAAGTCATTCCAAGAAACTCGGAGAGTCAAAGTATTTCAAGTTTGACCAAAATTATAGAGAAAATTACAAAGATTTATAACATCAAATAGATATACTATGCAAATATAATTAATGAATAATCTAACGATACTTAGTTGGTACCATAAATATTTTTATTTTATCATATAAATTTAGTCAAACTTAAGATCCTTTGACGCACCAAGATTCTTGGAATAACTTATAATTTGGGACGGACGGAGTATATAATAACTTGAAATAGTACCTTGTGAGGTGGTATAAATAACTCCAAATAGTTTACAGTTAGTTGTCCCATATGTATTTACTTAAAACCTAAGTTTTGGTTATATAAACTCTTATAGCATCCCTTTTGTGACATATCGAATCTATATATTATTTTTCAACTTCTAATATTGTTATATTATGAAGTTATGGTTAATATTTGAAATAATTTTAATAAAAAGTTATATTTTAGCTTTTAACTTTTATGCATGTTTTAAGTTGAAACTATAGTGCTTATGTGCCTCCCAATCAAATTTTTGAACTTTTTGTTTATTATATATGAAAGCATCTAGGCCTCTAGTTGGGTTTCGGTGATTAATAACGACAAGAGATTACTATGACTAACGTGTGTTTTACAAAGGCAATTTGAGTTAGGTCATGGTAATAGAAATTGATTGGGCAATCATGGTTGTCATGTCCCTGTCAATAGAAATCGTTTCGGTTTTCAAAGGATGGACGACAGGGTTAAGGATGGACTAGTTCTAAGTGTCGTTTGGTGTTGGAGAGATACTTAGAGTAGTTTAGGACTTTATTTTTCTTTTGGCCGTACTATTAAAAGGGGTATGAACTAGTAGCTTGACCTAAGTGAGTCTAGTGGATTAGGTGTGGTGCACACTTATCAAACCTAACACTAGGTAGCTTAGGAATAGCCCTAAGATCAATTGGAGTCAACTTCATTCACATAGGATTTCGAGTTGGAAGTGAATGATGGGTCAAATGACTGACCGGACGCTGGTCTGGTTGTGACCGGACGCTAAAGGGTGAGTCCGATCAGTTCATTTGATCAACTGCAGTCGTCTGGTACTGACCGGACGTTGGTCTGGTTGTGACCGGATGCTGGCGGGTGAGTCCGGTCAGTTCAGTTGATCAACTGCAGTCGTCTGGTACTGACCGGACGCTTAGTGGAGGAGCACCGGACGCTGGGGTGCCTGCATCCGGTTGACTCCAGTAAGGTTCTAGAAAGGACTTTTCTTGATCGGACGCGTCCAGTTGGTGCTGATCGGACGCTGGTCAGAGTTCGGTCAGAGCTTAACGGCTCTTTCTGACTCAGTGGCGTCCGGTCACCCTGACCGGAGCATCCGGTCAGCCCGCAGAGTGATGACTCAGCCTCCAAACTGTTATGTTTTGAATGAGGGAGTATGAATACTTACTCCACTCGTCCATGGGAGGTCTCTTGCCCATTTGTTCAGCTGAGAAACACCTTTGGAGTGCAAGGAAGAACAAGAGCCTAGTGGGGTGATTGAGATTTGATAATCCAAGATTAAGGACCTCATTAGTGCATAGAAAGTAACAAGTGTGCATCACCTTTCTCATTAGGCTTGTCTTGGTCAAGTGAGAGTTTGTGCTTGTTACTCTTGGTGATCGCCCCCGTGACCAACTCGCTGAAACCCATAACCCTGATCCCCATATCTGCCTTTGGAGGTGTTTGTGACCACGAATCTACAGTCAGAGGAGCCCATGACGGAGCCCTAGGTGGAGGAGAAACACTGCAAAGGAGCCAAAGTAGCCCGCAGTGAAGGAGCCAGAGCAGCCTGTTACATCGACTCGGATTTTGCTACTTCCACCTCAAAGGGTAAGCAATGTTTCTTTCTCGTTTTGCTGCAGTTAATTGGCCTATTAAATAAGTAAAATGTACAATTTATATGATCTGCAACATGTTTGAGGTATACACAGAGTGTATGGAGAAGCAGGTAGCTTTAGTTCACTCTTTTTTAATCTTAACGGATGAATATTTTTGTTGATGGTTAGTTATTGTGTCAAAAAATTAGTAGAACAGTGATGTGCTTGGTTAAATTTGATATTGTGTGCTTTGATTGAGGTGCTCTATGGATCTGCTTGTTACTTTGTGTGTTTGTCTTGTTTTTTCTAAAACACTACAACATAAAAACAATGTGATGCCTACTAATTTAAATCTTTCAAATACAGCTAGTTAATATGTCACACCGCACTTGGATGTATAGTGGTGGCGGCGTGTAAAGCGCCCTCTAGTGAATGGATTAATCAAACCACTCAATTCTTGGACCAAGCATTTTCCAATATGGAGATAGCTACAAATGACACCATCAAGTGTCCTTGTGCCATGTGCCGAAACTATTTTAGCCTCAAAAGGGATACTATAGAGATGCACTTGTGCAAGCATGGTTTTAGGGAAGGCTATGAAACATGGACGGAGCATGGGGAGACTCATATTGGGCATGATGACGGTGATAGCATAGCAAATGGGGAGGGTTTTGATGAGGTTGATCGAATGGATCAAATGTTGATTGATCTAGTGGGGACAATCCACCTATAGTAGATGAGCAACCAACACCATTTGCCATGATTTTTATAGGATGGTTGATAGTGCAAGTGAGTTGGTGCATGAGAAGACCACGCGACTCTAGGTTATCCTCTGTGGCTCGCTTTCTTGCCATAAAGTCACGACACAACATGTCAATTGCTGAATATGATGATATAATAGGCATAATACATGAACTTCTTCCTCCGATTCTAATTTACCTAATGACTTCTACCAATCAAGGAAACTACTACTGTGGTCTTGGCATGCCGTATGTGAAAATTGATGTTTGTTATAACAATTGCATGCTCTTCTACAAAGATGACGCAAGTAAAGAGATATGTGATGTTTGTGGTGCCAACCGGTATGAGGAAGGCCACGAACAAAGGTTCCACATAAAGTTACGTGGTACCTACCCATCATGAGAGAGAGGCTGCAAAGGTTGTATGCGTATGTGGATACAACCAAGCTAATGAGAGCACCTAGTCCATCAACGTCTGGTAAGATGGTGCACCCTTGTGATGGAGAAGCTTGGCAGCAATTTGATGAAGACTTTCCAGAGTTTGCAAGGGATAGAAGAAATGTGCGGCTTGCTATAGCAACTGATGGTTTCACACCATTTGGTAGAGATGCTGCCCCATACTCATCTTGGCGATCTTTGTGACGCCATTAAATCTACCTCTGGAACACTCTTAAGGCCAGAGTATATATTTCTTGCCCTTGTTGTTCCTGGCCCTAAGCATCATGGTAAAAACTTGAACATTCTAATGCGGCCCTTAGTTGATGAATTTAAAACACTGTGGGAAGGGGTTCACACAATTGATGCTTCCATAAAACGTAGCTTCAAAATGAAGGCAGCATACCTTTGGTTTGTACATGACTTCATGGCATATGGAGACTTCGCTGGATGGAGCACCCATGGTAGATTGTCATGTCCGTGTGGATATGGCTGCCTAGGTTTTCAACTCCGTAATGGTCATAAGGCTTGTTGGTTTGACTCATCATAGGCGCTTCTTGACTATGGATCATGTGTTTAGGAAACAAGCTAATGCATTTCAGAAGAACACAAGGGTGTTGGAAGAGCCACCTAGGAGGTTGACGGGGAGAACTCCAGGACAACGTGACCAGATTTGCGGTGTGACACACCTTTGGTAAATTGCACAATTGGACACATGTACTTTGCTTTAGGCAGCTTCCATATTTCTCTAAGTTACTTCTTCCACATAATATTGATGTGATGCACAATGAAAAGAATGTGAGTGAAGCCATATGGAACACATGCTTTGACATAGGTAGTAAGACCAAAGATAATGTGAAAGCTAGGCTAGATTTAGCTATGATTTGTAACCGACCTTCATTCCATCTGGTCCAAAAGAACAATGGGAAGTGGGACAAGCCTAGAGCTCCATTCTGCATTAACAAAGATGAAAAGCCAATCATTCTCCAATGGTTCAAAGAATTGAAGTTTCCTGATGCATATGCAGCCAACATTAGGCGTGGTGTGGACTTGCAACATAAGAGGATTCTTGGCCTAAAAAGTCACGA